GGCAGGGCAGTGTGATAGTGTGCTATTCTATGAGTCTCCATGGGAAGAAACTATGGTCTACATAATCACAATTCCCTCCTGGCTCTCCCATCTTCAGCAGACACAGAAATTTGCTTTAGCAAATACCAGCAGCAGCAAGAGCTGGTCAAGGACTTGTCCAATTTTACCCCGATCTACTTTTGTCATCCCTCAGCAGCTGACTTATTTGAATTGATGGGGGCATTTGGGAAGAGACACAAGTCCTCACCAATATCCGATCTGTCTGACCTCCACTGCCTGCTAACCTGCTCCTGAACTTTGGTTAGAGACATTACACTTGGGAATAATGAAGACTGAGACCTGTCATGTAACAGTAGAAATAACTCCTGGAACATGGACCTATGTCAGGTCACTGGGGCTGGGAAACACAATTCAGTCTATTATGAGTGCTCATGTTAGTTGCACATTTATTGCATTAATAACAGTATTCATGAATATGTTACTCCCAAATAACTCTGTGCCTGATCAGTAGTGGGGCATTGTTATCAGCGAGTTCCATGCTCCACTGACTTGCCAAATGTGCTGATTTCTTCATGTAAACACATAATTGAAAACCATTGCTTCTGAGACCCTGAGAGCTTCCTTGCTATACCTATGTGAGATCACGTTCTTTATCTGCTGTTAGGAGAACACAAACATACGGTGAAAAAGAATCTGATCCCTCCTAAAACCTCCATATTCAAAGTACCCTTGGCATTTGATGCATTATTGAATGTATAAAAAAAGTAAATGTATATTATATAATGTTATAACATTATATAATATACATTACTTTTGGGGGGGGTCTTGCCTCTGCTACTGACTTTCTGAGTAAACTTGAGCAAGTCACTTATTTTGTCTTTTCAGCTACTTGCCATACAAAGTAGAGAAGATAGTACTTCTCTCTGCCTTGTTGATATATCTATTGATTTATTTTATATATACATATGTGTGTGTGTGTGTGTATGTATGTGTATATATATATATATATATATATAAAATAAATCAATTCAAGAATAAGAACTCAGCAGGTAACCCAGACCCATGACAACATACACCTAAGAGAGTCAATAATTTGCCAAGAAATCTCTTACTCTAACTCATAAATCTATATACATCCACTCACAGTGATATTGCAATGCATACTAGGCACCGACTGGCTAGCGGAGGACCTAATTCTATATCCAGACATTGCCGTATAGGTACTGCTGGAAAGCACAGCAGTATGGAGGTAGGTATACATGTGGGTATTTCCCACTGCCCTCCCATGAGAAATGAATTTCACAAATGATCTCTGCTGCTAGCTTTGGATACATGCAGGAGCTCTCCAAAGGGTGTGTACCAGATGTTTCCAAACCGTTAACAGGGTGACAGTGGAAAGGGCAAAGCCTGCCAAAGTGCCCACCTGCTGCCTTCAGATCTTTTGCAGACCAAGAACTTCTAAAAATCCTCACTCCCAGATGCACATTTTAAAGCTGTCAGGTTTCAGTAGAAATGTTTGTTTTAAATATTTTACAATGAGACAGAAATGTCACTTACAGAGAGCTTGGGGGCATTCAGGAAGAAATACATGTCCATGGAATTACAAATAATTACTTTGATTCAAAATTGTCACGTATGCAACACTTCCTTGGAAACATCAGAAAAACAGCTGAATGGCAAAACAAGTATTTTTGAGTCAGTAGTGAGCATGAGCTGGGAGTCTTTGACTGTCACTTTATCCTTCTGAAAAGATTTCATTTGACAATCCAGCACATTTCAACAAAGAGCCCATGGCTCAAATCAGGCCTTGCCCATCTGCTGTGGTATTGGCAGGGTCCATTATTACTTTCCTAGTGGACTGACATGTCCTGACAAGGGTAAAGCCAAATGGTAAGCAGATTATTTCCCCTTCCTGGCATACTTGCACTTCTGCAATTATTATTAATAGTATTATTGTTATTGTACTAGTGCCCAGAGGATCCAGTCAGACACAGAGGCCTCAAAAGTTCTGAATGAGCCAGACACTATGCACAAATGTTGGTCAAAATATTTGCCTTGCTAATATTTCTCAGATTTTTTTTTGGCTAAACCCTTTTAAAAATTCTTGGAAAATGTCTGTTTTCCTTTCTCTGCCTCTCTCTTTCCTCCTTGGAAAAAGCACACATTCAGTTTGCAGCTGAAAATGTCTGGGTTTGGCCAAAAAGAAACTGGGTTTTGGATGAAATGTCAGAATTTTCAATTTTCAAGGGAAACTCCCCAAAATATTTTCAGCTCAGTAACCAGGTACAACACACGTAATAAAAGCATGGTTACTGGCTGCATACGGTCAAAGTACTCTTAAATATGCAGTGTCCACTGGCCATTTAAATGCATAGGCTCCAGACTGACTAAAAGACAGTACACACATGGTGTGAGCTTCCCAGGACTTGATGTGAATAATGCTCATCACGTAGGGGAACAGTGTGGGATTAGCTTTTAGCACTTTACTAAGTACCCCTATCTTAGTCCCCAGAAGTTTTATGTCTCTAACAGTAGTCTTGACTTAACAGCTCACAGTCACTTTTACCAATTATGCAGTTAAAGGGAAGACTAGGCATTACAAGGGAGGCAGCCAGTACTCAATTAACAGATTGAGTAATTGAGTAATCAACTTACTCAATTAACCAATAACCAAGGTGTATTACAATGATAGATAAAAAGTTGAGACTGGTGAGGTTTCATGTAGTTCAGCAAGTTACTTACTTATCTAATAGATGGATAAAGAATATACACTGTATTTTAAAGCCCTAACTACCATCTAAATCTGGGTGGGCTCAGGCTCCTTTCCTATTATTATTATTATTGTTGATGATGTTGTTCTTGTTGTTATGTGCCAGCAGATCTTTTCAGCCCTGTGACATATATACTCAGTTTTTTCCTGGAGGCAGATTCATAGCAAGGAGGGAAAAGGTAAGGTGTGCATATTTTGTCATCTGGCATCCTCATTCACTCTAAGAAAGACTTCTGCCAAATGCTTTGCTTCAGC